TTTGCTTTTACGGGAGTTGATCCTGAAATTGTTCTCTGAACATCTTTCTGCTGACGGCAAGGTAAGGAGACGCAGAGTGTTTTCATGTAACTGGTTATGATTATAAGCATACACTGCATACTATTGCACTTGGAAGGTGAATGTTAGGGGAGGTTTGGTGTTTTGGAGACAAACAGGTTTATTTACAGGTCTATCCTTTTCTGCTTTAAAAAGGTCAAACAAACAAAAAGATGATATATATTAACTCATATTATTTAACTAGGTAAATGTGTCATTGAGATTTCAAATCTATTTTTCAAGAGCGGCCTGGCCAAGAGGGCAGCATGAACAATGGTCTAACAAATGAACCCAAAACAAAACAGGCAGACGAATACAGGGGTCGCAAAACAGAAATGAAACGGCACATTAACCAGTCAAAAAGAAACTATTATAAAACATTTAAAAACTGGCACAATTTTAAAGCGATTTCAATTAGGGGGTGTAAGAGCGATCACATCGACCAATGGTTTCTTGTTCTCTGTTCTTTAAGATGGACTTGAACTCCCCATAGTGATTACATCTGACGGTTCCAGCTCCTTCTGTACATTATTCCAGGCAGAAGGAGCTGCATTTAAAAGCTTGTTTACCTAGTTGTGCTCTCACTTTAGGAACCAGCATCTGAATAATATCTTGAGAGCAAAGGCCATATACTTTGTTTTTTTTCTTTAAGCCTCTGAGGATCCGCTATGTTTGCGTAATTGACGCACATAAAGTTTGCCAGGTGAATAAAAGTCAGATACAAAGTTTCCAGTTAAATACAGTCTTTATTTCCTTTTTACTGGTGTCCATTTAACTTGCTTCATTTGATTATTCACCATACACAATATTACGGTTCACACAATACCTTTAGCAAATGTTTGTAATCCCGTGTTTGTGTGTTCTTCGTGTGTGGTCAAAAACTGTATGGCCTTCCGGTTGAACCTCTAACCACGAACATTGGTTCCTACCTTTACACCCCACAGTGTTAATTGGCTCCTAGAGATGGGTTTGTTAACCTGTGCATATTTGTGAAACGGGGTGGTACTGTATGTTTTCTTGTTGCTCCACCAGTCTGTGGACTACAAGGGCATGTCGGGTGACCCTGCCTTCGAGCGGTACTGTGAGCTGGCCATCCAGCTGCAGCGGGTGGAGCTGCTCTCTCTCAGCCGGGAGGAGAAGCTGGCCTTCTTCATCAACATCTACAACGCCTTGGTCATCCACGGGAACCTCCGCCTGGGGGCCCCCACCAACATGCTGCAGAGATACAAAGTAGGGTCACACAGCCACACTTTAAGACGCTACAGGGTCTCCTGAAGTCCTCATAGCCCATAGTCCTCACTGTAATTGAAAATACAATATGAAAATATTTGTGTTTTTTAATACTTTGAAATAGTGCTGCAAAAAATATGTAGATATCAATATTGCTAAGATAATGTTTCTATGTTGAAGTCGAGGTTAGCCATTTCTTTATGCTGATTTTAACCAGTATCTCCTATAATGTACATTATTTTACATCCAGAGTGAAATCTAAAGATAAACATGCAAATGAAGTGACATAAATGGTTGTGTTATCTTAATATTTGAAACATGTACTTTGATTAAAAATATAGATTGTGTTCCTGTCCCTTATGTAGTTCTTCAACTATGTGAGCTACCTGATTGGAGGAGAGTTGTTCACACTACAGGACATTGAGAACGGCGTTCTGAGAGGGAACAGAAGAGGAATGGCTCAGCTATTAAGGCCCTTTTCCAAAACAGACCCACGACTACAGGTATTCAGACATTCTGTTAAATCACAGTAGAACATTTAAATAATTCACAAGATAGACACTTTTTTGACAGAATAACTAGAGTAATGTTCTATTTCTCATTTTGTCCACTAGGTGGCGCTTCCAGACGCTGAGCCCCTCATTCACTTTGCCTTGAACTGTGGAGCAAAGGGCTGCCCACCCATCAAAACATACACTCCAAAGGTGAGCAGAGTTCAGCAATATGCATTAAGTGTATCTGCAACATATCTGGTAAATAAAAATCTGATCTACCCTATCAGGACATCGACAGCCAGCTCCGCACAGCAGCAGAGGCCTTCCTGGAAAACGATGACTCCTGCCTGGTGGATTCTGGGAAAAGAGAAGTGCGACTCAGTCAGATTTTCAAGTGGTACAAAGCTGACTTTGGAGGAACGGATGAAAAGGTACTTCTGACTCCCAACTGACCCCTGCGCAGTCTTTTTTTTTCAAAAACTGGAATCACAGGAGTGGTGGAAGAAATATTGAATATTTTTCACAAGTTAAAGTAGAAATACTATACTTTTTAGTATTAAATTGTACCAAAAGTATGATGCAATACAAATATTTCCCAACAAAATTGAAGTTAGTGTTGCCAGTGTCTTAATCATATTTCGATGATAATTGTGAATAAATACCATCCATTAAGCCTGTGTTTTCTCTCTCTGCAGCTGCTGAAGTGGGTGCTGGATCACATGGGCGACTCCCCGAAGAAGAGCAGCCTGCAGGATGTGATATCTGCTGGGAAGACCAAAGTCATCTTCCTCCCTTACGACTGGAGCACCAACGGCACACACTGAGCATCTCTCTGCTGCTCCAGTGTGTCTCTGCTTCTGTCCACTTCCTACTGAGCGGCATCTCCTCTGAAACCAGAAGGTCGGTGACCATGTGTTTCACAAATGCAATCCACTGGTCCTCAACCATGCAAATCGACGTTATGCAAAACAAACTGTACATTCAAGTGGTGAGAGGGGCGCGTTTGCACTGTCCCTTAGTCATACTTCTCCCCCATGTTTAAATGTCATACGTTGTGTATGAGTTGAACATCAACGTTTTCATTGGTTTGAAGCAACAATAATCGAGCTATTTAGAAATCAAGATGTTATTGACTTCCGTTATTATTGTACTATGTTCAATTTTATCCTGAAACTTTCCCAAATTAGTATTCGAACCCCTACCCAAAGACTGAATTTAGTGTGTTGAGAAACAAAATCTATAATATTTATTGAAATTGGTCTACATTCTTGAAATCGGATATGGACCTACTTCATAACCAACACCACAACTTGGACATTTTTAGATCGTAATTGTAATTCAGGAAAAACAATGACAAAATAGACTAGTGTTTTTCCTCAAGTATAACGATATATAGTACACACACCATTTACCCAAATGTGCTGTACTGTAATAAGACAAGAAAATCTAACTTTGTCCTACAAAAATGTAACATTTCTTCAGATTTGTCTTGGGCAAGCACTTCAATCTTTGAATTAGAAAGGACATTTAAAAATGAACTAAAAGCATACTGTATAATAATTTAACAATTCTCAACATGGCTTCCATGTCCTCAACACTATGTCAGCAACTCAGGAGTCATAGATTACCACCCTCTTCAGTCCAATACAACACTCAGCAGGCGGTTCATGTGGAGCATGTAATCAGAGCAGAGGTAGGCGATACACACACCCTGCCTTGGAAAGCCATATCGAAGCCCTTTTAACTCACAAACGTACACATTCAAGTTTAGCAGCTGCAGATTCTCCTCATTCTCCAACGTTTTAAAATGCTTTTTTACAGGTAAAGAAACTACAAGCTGTGGAAATTAAACATTAGTATCTAACTTATGGATATTAAATATTAAAATATAAAGACAACGTCGCCTCTGGCTGTAGAACAAGATAACATTATTTGAAGCTTTTTACAAAAAAACTATGATAATGAATTTATTATAAAAGAACATCTTGTTTACAGCGCTTTTGCATGGCTTGATAATTGTTTTATTATTTTGTTACTTCCTTACTTTATGTTAGCCTACATGGATGTCCACCCCTCTCTTTTTGATCCAGGTCTTCCATTTGAAATGACTACTGCTGTGTTTTTAAGCGCAGTCATTTAGTAGTGTATGTATATATATATATAGTAATATTTTGAATTCTAGAAATATGTATCATAGCTACACCCCTTTGGGAAGCACTCTGACACTTTGCATGTGTATCACCAACTCTGAATGCTGTTCAGACATGTTTGTACTGTTTTTTTTTCACAAACAAAAGTTAACTGTTGGTCAGTGTGAGATGTATGGGCAGTTTGTCTAGATATTTCAAGGGTGTCTGCGGGAAGTGAATGTCTTCAATTATTGTTTGTTTTATTACCCAGATCAGTAGTCATGCATATAATTAAATGTAGCAGTTTGTGTGTAGATTATATTACTTTAGGGTTTCTGCCTTTAAATCTGTACAGGACCTACCTTCGGTTCCATAAGTGAAGGATTTTCTTATCTCAGGTCAAAGGAAAATGTGTGAGGAGACGATGTTAGGGTGTCTGATGTCATCGATGCACTGTAGGATGCATGTCGTGTATAACATGTCCATCTCTCTCCATATTCCTTTGCAAAGACATCGTGTCTGTCTTTTAGTCCTTAAACTATAAGCAGCACGAGAGCATATGGTGAAATAAGCATGTGTTAAAAACTGGAATGCATTCGCTGCACGACTCTGGAAACTGTTGAAAGCTGTTCTGTAGCCGGACAGCCTGTCAACTCTAGAGCCTGTTATTGGAATGCAATAGATTGAGAATATAACCTGAGTTCCTGTTACTCTATTGTTTAGTGACTGATGATAAAATACACTTTGTTGGCTAAACAAGTACATTTTATGTACGTATTTAGATTTTCCCTGTACTTTATAGAACCTTGTATCAGGAAAATGTGACGCAAAAAGTTTTTTAAACAAGAAATTGTAATATATTCTACTTCCTCTTTCCTGGGGTGAACAATAAAGCAATATGTTTATGAACAATAAATATGCAATGCCTGAACTTAACTGTCTCCTTACTTACTGTGTAATCTCACTGCATTTTCTTTTGAAGCAAAAAAAAACCGGGTTGTTGATTTATGTGAATACATTATTGTATTAAACCAATGACAACGTTTAGTTTCATTTGTTTATTCCAACAAATTAAATGCCTTTTTTTTTTTAATGAAAAATAGATGGGAAATCATCATTACATTTACAAATCTAATATATTAACATTTGTATATATATAAATAAGCAGGTTTAAGTGCAGTCCCATAAAAAAGAATACACATACAAACTATTTTACAGAGTATCTCAAAAGTATATATACATAACATGGGGTTAAACTGAATCAAAAAATAAATTCAAAGTGAACAGATTTTAAATTGTATCTCTACCGACAGTGCAAAACGGATTTGTTCATGGCACTAATGAAGTTATAAATATGTGTCGTATTGTACAGAATAATAGTGTGACTTTAAAAAGGCATAACAGGGTTTCAGACATTTTAATTAGACTCCTGTTGTCAGAAGACTTGTTGGGAAATCCTACATCCTCCTTAGTTTCAAAAGTTACTTTGGAGGATTTATTTAGAAATAAATACTGTTAACAGTATAGATGTACAACCACCACATATCTACTGTTAGTCATTAGTGACACTTTTTACCAAAGCTCAAACCAGTGCATGATTGGAAGACAGTCATTGAACAAACACATTTCATCTTTCCATCCATTTATGTGGTTTGATACAATAGTTCATAGAGTTACAAATACTGCTCAATGATATACTGCATGTAAATACATAAAAGGTTCAAATCAAGAGCTGAAGCCATTCAAGGAAATTAATTCAAGTGCTGCCAGCAAGTCAGGAAGAGAAAACATATTCTAAGCCAGATTCTTAATGCCTGCCTTTTTTCTTCAAAATAGATTACAGTGTAAAGTAAATCATAGTTGTCCCTTTGATTCAAATCAAAAGCACATTTTAAATCCACTTGATCGAATAAAGGCTTAGTGAAGTGAGTAAAACAATATATTTAAATTAAAACTACCTGAACAAGTGGTTCGAATACATTTTTTCAGGCTCACTAACCAGTATATGAGCGACAGGGACATTCACCTCATAGTGTTAACGGGTCAAACTGAAAGACAAGCAAAAGACAACCCTTCAAATATTGGCCTTCTGTTGGTGGAATAAACAAATGCAGTAACCAACATAGTGTAAAGTGAAAACATGGTAACTATCACAGGGTTAGTTTTTTTTTATATATACTTATATGATATTTTGAAAACAATGTGTTAAAATATAGTTTTAACTATGCAAAATATTGCTTCGAAAAGGTTTCATCAGTTAAAGAGAAATACAAATCCCCAAATTAGCTATTTTGGCACAAATCTCCTCTTTCTTTCGAGTACTGTAGTATTATGAGAGTCTTCCTCCATCTTGATGCTAGCCCTGAGCCCGGTGGCAGAGTAGAGTGGTCACCATGGTTACAGCTCCTCTTCAGTCATTACTAACCTAAACAAATAAAACAAAGGTCATCCAGTGGTTCATGTAGGTTAGAGAGTCCTAAAACCCAGAAATGAGTTCAGCACTTCCGTTCCCTCGTCTAAATGTTTTTTTGGTTAGACGTCTGGAATAAGATGTGTGGTGAACGCAAGCTTAAGAAATGTTCATGTTATGTTCGAATCTAGGACAACAAATAAGTGAGTTAATACCCTACAGGTGAATGTCTAAAGCTTCTATGAGTCATACAAACTGCAGACTACTAAACGTCATCACGGGCAAAAACAAGTCTGCCTTTAGCTGAGCAGTGGTGACGCAAAGCTGTTTCCAGGAAGTAGTCCGTTTATAGCCTAACGTTAGCTATTACTACAACTATTATAAAAGTGTTGTTGATACGCGCGGAGTATCCTGCTTGGAAAAATATGTGTATGTATGTAATTATTGTCACAATACAAAATCAATTGCATAGTCCCATTGACTTTTGTTGAGGGAGACATTGGGATGCTAACGTCCAGGTTAGACTCTATACACTTGATAAGATCCCAGCATCCAGCCTACTTACTTTCATCGTCTGAGTCGAAGCCAAAGAGTGCGGAGCAGGTGTTGAGGGCTTGGTGTTTCTGGAGTTCCTCCACGCTGCTGAAAGAGGAGAGGACATTTGTCGCAGCGCTGCCTGACCTTCTGCACGTCCTCCTCCCCCTGCTGCTCCTCCTTATTTTTCTTAATGTTCCAGTAGGTGTTCTTCTTCAGAGCGACCTCTTTGGGGGCCCTCCTCTTGCGCATGGAGAGCCGGGCTTCATCCAGGTAGGTGGAGGGCGGCGGCCGGATGAAGGGGGCTTTTGACGGAAGTGGCGGGGTCTTCTGGTTTGAAAGTTTTGTGCTCGGTGATGTGCGGCTCTCCTATTGCCTGCTGGACTGCCTCGGACAAAGTGGCCAAGTCCTCCAGGTCTTTGACGTTCAACGGGTCCCACCTCCTCGGGCACTATTTTCCGACGGCTCTTCTTTGGAGTGGACTTCTTTCCTTCTGTCCTCCTCGTCTCCTGCTCATGTCCGTTTGATGGTGGATTTAGTGTTGCACATAGGCTCATGACTGACTGTTTTCTCTGGGCAGTTATCCGGCTGATAGCCGTCTGGGAAGTTAGTTTTACAGTGCTGACCTTCAGTTTGAATTTCTCTGGAACCCTCGACATTAGAGGCATCCTTCCTCTTCCCCTTTTTACTCTGCAGCCACAGCTCCTCTACTTTCACCCTCTGCTTCCAGGGGGCTTCAGCACTTTGCTGCATCTGTCTGCCGGGGTCCCAGCTCATCTTTCTGAGGCGCTGGATGTAGTGTCTCCATTCGTGCTCATGGAGCCCTGTAATGCTTGAGAACAGCTTCTCACAGTCTGAGAATGGACATTGAGGTCTGAAGGGCTTATGGGTGATGACGTGGCCCTTTAGTTCCTGCTGTGAAGGGAAGCGCTGCTCACAGCCCTGATGGTAGCAGAAGTGCAGCAGCGTGGTGTCGTGGAGCTTCATGTGGTCCTTATAGTGCTGCACAAACTGGATCTGCCTGTGGGGGGGGAACAGTCAGGATCATACGAAATATTGTTAAAAAAAGTAAAGATAAACTAAAAAAGTTTTTTTTTTTTTAAATGTTGAGAAAATTGTAACATTTAAAAAATAACGTTTGTGATCCTGTATTATTAATATTATAATAGTCCGGTATCCTAAAAAGTACCAATCCCCAAAATCAAACATACATATTTTACGTTTATTGCTACTTATCAATCAAGACCGTTTTGGTGTGAGTGTTGGAGACATCCGACACAGAGCTTCCCGTTTCATCAAATATCAAGGAGCTCAAAGAACCAAAACTAATTATTTGAAGGACACAACGTCTCTTTGCCGAAGTTATGAGCCAGTTACTCAAGATAAATCACAGACCTTGCGGTGAGCAATTTCACGTAGAAAACATTTTCTTTCTACCAAAATCAACTCAATAATGATGAGTGACAAAGAGACGCTCATCCATGAGGAGCTGCATGCTTACTTGTGCACATGTTGGTCGGTTGCCTTTTAGTTCCAATATTAGCATCATAGCTACAACTGATATCCCCAACACTGAGCAATTCACACCAAAATAACTTTAATTTGATACGTAGCTTTACAAGTAAGAGCAAAAATAAAACAAATAGATTTTGGAGTGAACTGCTACTTTAAGTCCGGAAGGCAACATACATTTGCTCATGTGAAAAGCCATGTGTGGTTGATGTCTATATCAATTCACTTAACAAGTCAGTTTTCACCATCCCTGATTTACATTGCCACTAGATGTAGCTTTGGGAAATGGTAGATGTTAAGCTACGAGCCTTTCTTACCTGAGGCATATGGAGCACTTGTGTTTGGCCCACACAAAGGTCTTCTCCAGCACCTTCTCTTCGCTGATATGGCATTTGATGGCGTGCTTGGTTAGTGTGCTGCTGACCCTCAGGAAGACTCTGTCACAGGTCTCTGAGGGACACAGGTGGTACGTGATGTCCACACTGAAGCCATTCTCCTCCTCTCCCACTCTCTCCCTCCCCACCACAAAGGGGTCCTTCACGGATCACCAGGCCATCTTGAATGACTACCTGCTCGTCCTTGAAGTCTACCTGCCTGGTATATATTAGCGTCGGGGTTTTTGCACTTCTTGTAAAGCACAGCTGTCTTTTTGATGAGGGTGCGCAGGTTTCCTGATGATTCGATCTTCCCTTTTGAGGCTTGACACTTTACATTTCCCCCGCGGGTTTGGGTTCAGGAGTCTTCCTCATTGGAAATGGAAGTTGTGTTTTTATCCTGATGCTGATTGTCCACATGATCTGCTACACCATTAGCAGCAGGAGCGTCCTCAGTGCATTGCTTCTTCTGTTTGGACATTTCATCAATGTGGTCCATGACATGCTTTTTGGCAAAGGGGAGCTGCTTAAAGCGTTTTCCACAGAGTATACATTTGAGTTTCCTACTCTTAAGGTGCGAGAGAGCATGCCTCATGACATTCAAGCCTTTATAGTCCTTGTGGCACAAGTTGCAGTGGTACATCAAGTGGGCATATTGTTGAGCACGCAGCATTCGGTCCTTCCAAGGCCTCTTGGATTTCACCTGGAGAAAAGAGACAACAGAATGAGTGCCATGACATTCTCGTTCTCATTTATATGCAGTAAGTGTTCTTCCTGAATAGCACACACATTCCACAGACATATAGTAAGTTGCTGCTAATGCAACAAGAAAAATACAACTGAACGTGATTTCCCAAAATGAAAAGGCCTGCATTATGAAATTCCTGAGAGGGTAAAACAAACTGACCTCAGTGTCCGTTTCCTCCGTGGGTTTTGGCTCCTCTTCTGTATTGCCATTAACCTTGTCCGGTGCCGAGGATTCTGGGGGTTTCTCCTCATCAGGCTTTTTGGATTTTAGAGAGTAGCTGTGTAACGCTTCTATTGGACAATGTATTAAGTATAAGGGAGGACCATCGAGCTCAGGATCAGCTTCAACAGCCGGAGCAGCAGCTTGAGGTTCAACAGGAAGACAAAGCTGTGTTTGAGATTCCTTTTGGGTGTGTTCCTCGACAACGCTTTTACAGTCCGAGTCTGGAAGTTTCTCAAGTCCATTTTGCCTCTGGAGGTTATCCATCTGTTCAAATTGATTCTCTTCCTGTTTGCTCGTTTGATCGAGTTCATTCTCCAGGTGAGGCATGCCCGGCTCTTTGTCTTCTGTGTCAGTTATCTCCTCAAAACCAGACTCTTCCTCTCTACGGGATAATTCATTATCAGGGTATGAGAGTTCCACTTTCTGTAGGGCTTCCGCCCGCCGCTTTTTCCCTTTGTATATGACCTTCTCCTTAACTTTGACCGTGGTCTGCAACTGCTCCAGCCTCGGGAGACCCTGCAACCATCGCTTCTTCCGACCCTTCCTTTTCAGAATTTGGCTCTTCACACACCTAGCAAGATACTCCCTCTTGGGTTTTAGAGGGACTTTTACAGAAGCTGAATTTTCCGTTTTAACCTGATTGCGTCTTAGTGAATACATCGTTTTATTGCCTAAAGAGGTGAGTTTGAGTTTGTATTTGAACTCTGGATCATCTACAATTTCGGGTTCATCGTCAGACAACGATCGGCTTCTCCTTCCAATCTTTTTTCTCCATTTTCTCCTCTTCAGAAGAGTATTATTTGACGGGGCCACACACTTTTCTGTCTCTTCAGCCACAGCCTGAACCTCTGGGAGGTCTCGGCTCACAACAGCAGTCTCTGCGGCCTCAGTGCACCGACAGGGATTTACACCTGGACTGCATGATTGGTTTATACACTTATTTATGAACAACTCTTCCCTGTTTTCCTCCTCTTCTTCCTCCTTCATCTCACTGAGAACAGCAGCCTTCATGACGTTGTCACTTATCAACTCCAAGCAATGAGTCCTGATGGTCAGGAGGTTCCAAAACTCCGGGTCGAAACACAGGCGCGCCTTGAGCATCTGGAAAAGAAAGATGCAGCATTTTTAGGCACAGATTATAATGCTATATATAAAAAATAACTATACATGCAGATCATATATCTTCTCTGACCTGCAGGATATGGAATCGCACGCTGGTCCGGACCGGGCTGTTTTGGGGATGCGGCTCCTGGTCGGGATGATTGTAGAGCAGGCAGACCGTTCGGTAAGCTTCCAGGCTGCGCTCCTGGCAGAACACCAGCAGGGCGCACGCTCGACAGATCTCCAGGTCGTGAGGCAGCAGGAAGGCGATGGTCTTGCAGGCAAGAGAGCGGGTCACACTGTCAGCCTGCATGTCAGCCAGCCGCAGGGCCCTGGCACAAAGCTCCACACACACCTGGACGCTTTCCACTCCCAGCTATCCAAAGGCAAACGAGTGGTTGAACAAGATGAAATGGTAGATCAGAGCATCAAATGATTAAGACTTTTTCATTTCGACTTAATTACAGAAAACGGAAGATGCTACATTTTTTCATTTCGTTTGTCCTGAGAAACACAACATGGTAAAAAGGTGATGCTGTGATGTGAGTCTCACCTCTGTTGTGACCAGTTTGATGAAGGGGAAGATGGCTCTGACGTTAGTAGCGGAAGAAGCTAACTGCAAGCATTCAGCCAGAAAGCCATGTCCGGAGGGATGGGCCCGGAGATGCAACCTGCTCCAGATGAACACCAGGTCCCTGCAGGAGGAAGCGCATGGCGAGCAAAATATATCAGTTCTATTTGAATTAAGCAAACTCTTTTCCTAGCTATTCCTATTTCAGCAATCTGTGCACCCTGACACCAGCTCCAGGATGTATCATAAACTCTGGGGGAATGACAGAAGGGTATCATAATCATAGTCCGGTGTTAGAGTGATGTATTAAAGACATTCTTACCAGATGTAATACATGTCTCCATTGTGTAGCTGCTGGGTAAGGAAAGCTTTACACAGCGACAACAGGAGCTCGTCTTTCTCCATGCTCTCTGTGTTGCAGATGATCTCCACTGCATCGCGGCCATCTATCTCCGCCATCTGAAGAGGAATATGTAGAAGCACATGCTTAGAAAAATACACCAAACGCAAACTTATTCAAAACGAATTACAAACAACTATGGATACAAGAATCATCTGTTCAACTGGCTGCTTATGATAAAAACATTGATTAACCTAAATCACACAATGTTAACACATATTATTGTTATACAGCATCATAAACATTTGTTGGGTTTGAATTATTTGTCAGATAAGTGGTTGATTTATATATATCAGATTATTTAATACTATCATAGTCCAACTATTAGAGATCTTGCGATGCGCTTTGTTCTAAATCCCATTATGACTTCCTGTCTCTTACCTCCTTGTGAAGGTGCTCGTGCAGTGAGGCCTTGTAGAGGCAGGTCAGGTAGGCCTGATGGAAATACAGATGCTTTCCAGCCTCGAGATTTTCCAGGCAGCTTTTAGCCAGAGCCATGGCCTCTTGCATTCGTTCACAGGCCAGCAGGTAGCGAATCCGCAGCTCAAAGAATACTGCCAACTCTGAGCTTAAGTAGTCCTCAACTGCATTGGAGGAAAATCACAATGATATGTGACAAAGGACATTTAGGTGTTTGCTTGGGGTCATGTTGGTGTTGTTAGAATTCTATACTGGCAAAGTTGTTGTAATACTGTAAAGTCTTAGGAATATTATTTGTTAAGTATGAAACAAACAACATTTTAATAAACAGCTTATCATCAATTACTAGCTTTGCTAAAACTAGACCTTTGAAAGTAAGTGAGTTTATCTGATTGACAGGAAGGAGAGTCGATCACACAACATCTCACGCCCCCTGTCAATCAGCACTGCTACTCCACAAAGCTGTTTGCTCACCTCTCCTCTTCTACCTGTACCTCTCCATTAAACCCATGATGCTTGTTGATCAAACAACATTGGTAAGTCTGCTCACAGGAGTGGGCTGACCTCCTTGATAATGCAGTGTTATCTGTGTGTGCTAGATTAGCTAAGAGAAACGGACAGGAGCCCACCCTGTTGTGGTGGAAAGTGGGCCTCCTTCAGGATTCCTTGCAGCACTGGGTTTTCCCACGGGCCTCCGGCTTTGATGATGAGCTTTACATGCTGAAGGTAGCTGTTCCTGTGCCTCAGGAGCTGACAGTGGCACTGCTGCAAAGAGAGGTAAAATGACACGTTAAACACAAAAACCTTACTAAAAACAACCAAAGTTACAACTAGACTATCAGTAGCAAACACTGAGGTAGACAATGTTTTATTTTAAAACAGGGGGGTACAATTGGCTGTTGGATAGGGGCTGGGAACTTTTAATGAACACTCACAACTAACAAACGGTAGATATGAATCTAGGTATTATAAAAGGGTTGTGGGAATTAGAAAACAAGGTATTGAAAGAGTTTTTTCACCTGAAAGGAGTCAAGGATGTCTTTTAAAGGCTCTTCTACAAATTCTTCTTTGCTGAAAAACAGCATCAGTTCAAAAAAGCTCCTGCAAGACAATGAGAGGAACATGTCAGATAATTACAAAACCCTTAGCAGTTGTGTTCTATGCAAGTGCTACTGTCAGAGAGCAAATGATGCCGACATTGATGTTACACTACTAACAGCGGATCCAAGCAAAACGCTATTAGGTTTCTACTGGTTTGCCAAAATAGACAGAAACCATAACATTAGTATACTTTAGCCCGGGGACAATGTATTTAAAAAGGTGTGGTCCAGCATTTTGCTAGCAAACAAGGTTGCCATGTTCACAAGAGTATAGGGCTGCACGATGTATCGTGTCGTGACGTTAACCGCGATATGCGCGATATTCACATCGCAGGACGTGACGATGTAAAAAAAAAAATCTTTTAGGGCGTGCGATATTAAGTAGGCAAATTAACTCAAACATGTTACAATTATTTTGCTGCTTGCTACAAAAGGAAAACTTGCGCGGCTCTCATGTCAGGGGTACTTGAGTGAGTGACATGCAGGCTCTGCATGCACAGCAAACCACCAATCACAATCAACTCTCCAAAACAAACGGACCCGGTGATTAAAGGTAAAAACACTGAATAAAGTGGTTTCATGTGTTTCTCCAGGGCAGTTCGGCGCTGCTAACCGAGCTAGCTCAGCTTGTTGCTCTGATAACTTAAGATCCAGACGTCCGTGACTAAAATCCTTCATCCGGTTAAATATAGTTAAAAAAATACCAATTGTATAGCATTAAAGTTAAAAAAAGGATGGTTTGCGGAATGAATATATATATATATATATATATATATATATATATATATATATATATATATATCGCAGGAAATCGCAATGTCAGTTTTTTCCAATATCGTGCAGCCCTACAAGAGTATATGGTCTAGTTTTTAGATTACGGGTATGCATATTCAAAGTGTAGGCTAAAAATTCCCCAGTATCCATGTTTGCCACTCTGACATGTAACACAGTACTTACAAGGCCATACTGCTGAGAACATAGTGGACGTGCTGACAGTCCTCAGGGAAGGCAGCAGTGGCTTTGGTGAAGCTGCAGAGTGCGGTCCGAAGCACCTTCAGCTGAGGGAGAGGAACCTGCCATTGCCCTGTGTACTCCTCAACCAACTGTGCATACAGAAGACAGAATGTAGAAATATGAGACATTATGCACTTTATGATTATAATCTATTGTAGCTTAGTTGATTATGACAGCAAGGCTTTGAGTGCATGACATAGTAGTGAACAATCCACATTTCATTTCAATTATTTATTTATTTTAAAATATGACTTTCTTAAAGTGCCAAAAATCCAATAGGTTCTATATGTTGGTCTTATTTGTTTTAACCAAGGAGAAAGCTGTAGAAACAGATAGACACTTGGGTGTGTGGTACATTAAAGGTATCTGTCTAATAACAATCAAGGAGGGTTCAATATATGGAATAAATCATGAACAATATATACCGTGTATACATAGAATAAGTATTCAATATTGTATCCATACCAAAGCAGTAGTAAGAATTAGTCAATTGAAATATAATTATCCTTGTGTACAACATGTGTGAAATATCTCGATCTTAGATAAACCCCTAGGAAATGTCGGCCAATCATATGAAGGAATTTGGATGAGATCAGTGTATAAGCAAGGCTAAAACCTGACAATCGCATGACTTTAACAAGGCGTACATTTGATTTCACAGTTAGAGTCCTAAGCAAGGCAGCTTTGTAAATAGTGTGTAAACTAAGTTACTGTTGATACATGACTGTCAGGCTTATGGCTGGTGAAATTCAAACGTTTGACTCAGAGAAATGTATATCGTTCAGAACATAACAACATTAGAAAGGTATTTTTAATGTGTCCAAATCATGAAGATATTAAAGAGGGGAACATAGGATTCTGGAAACATAGATACGCTCTGCTCTGACTGCGTTAGCTATGAAGCTAAGCATTAACAAATGCAGGCAGATAACTCGAGAAACATGGGAAACCATATGGAGTTACCTTCCAGTAGCACAGTATATATGTATATATACTTAGGTAATCAGTTATGTGTGTTTCGGGCGGGCTATATAACAGTCTTAGAAACACAACTTAGGCTACACAATAAACAGAGCTACTTTGGGGGCTAATGTTAGCTAGCATAGCTAGTTAGCGTTAGGCAATAACAAACGCAGACTATGGAGTCCATTTAACACAATTGAGTTTAACTCACCTCACAAAACTCAGAGGCAATAGTCCTTTGCTCTTCAGAGACAACTGGTTGCTGCAGTGTCTTCCACACAATGTGGTCCAGAGCTATTCCAAGCCCTTCGTTTCCAAATCACTCTCGCATTCCCGCCATACTGTCTGCTGTATCCAGCCGCATAGCCCAAGTTGCCAGGTTTGTAAGGTAGCATCCTCCTGTGTGCTCACGACAAAAGCATCTGCAACCAGGCAACCCAGTCATTATACGTACAGATGAATGTTTTTTAACCCTTTCATGCATGAATTATGAAAGCCTCAGTCAGGATTTTTTGACTAAGTGTTATTATTGCTCTTGGGGCATGAAAAACAAGATTTGAACTTTTTTTTTTTTAATCTAGTTTTTTAAAAGAGATTTGTATATGTCCACTCAGGTGGAAGAGATGTACATTTTGAAAAAATTATAAATAAAGATGTGCAAACTTAAAATTACATTATAAATAACATAAGTATATTGATTTACGGCCCAAAAAGATATTGGCAGATGAAGTATTTTCAAGAATAACCAGGGCCAGGGGCCAATTTGAGGCCCCACGCACAGTTATTTGATGAGTGCTTAGTGGAGCCTCCGCAGCGGCGAAACCGTGGCCCCGCCACCCTAATTGCGCCACATAAGCGCACAGGTGCGCCTCAGATGAAGCCCCCCTCCGCAAGGTGTGGCCCCCTCCATAAGGTGAGGCCCCACACAGTCTGCATGATCTGCCTGTACGGAGGGACGGCCCTGGGAACAACAGCAGCAGTACCAGTATTAATTGTAGTTGAAATATAGCCAGTGATGCATGATTAATGGTGGTTAATCATGATTTCCTGCAAAACATAAAATCAATACTTTGATAATTTATGAATTATATGATTCCTTAGTTGTTACTTGATGTCACCACATTGTTTTATACCTGCAGGGGACGCTTTCCATAAAAGGATTGGCAAGATATAGATGGGTGACTTGGGCTGCTTCTCAGGTCGATTCAATGAAATCCTTGCTTCCCTCACTTGCGTCGTTTCCCTGCGTTTAGTCCCTCCCACCAGGGAAGCATGGAGGGACGCAAGGAAACCACGAGAAGCAGGGAAATGAGTTTTAAGAGCAATGGGACGTCCTTTCCTCCGGAGCGTTACGTGAAGCGACGTCCGTTTGTGATGACGCTGCACAGCTGTTCGTCTGGCAGCAGCCAGCTCTGTACCCGTTATTTCCACAAACACCCCCGCCTCTGTTAGTGCACATTTACTGACATAAACATTAGTATCATCTGTTGTAGATCCAAATACATGAAATAAAATAAGAAATCATTCTTAAAATGTATTTAAACGAACAATAGTTTGATTAATATTGATTAGAGTGCACAATAGGAATACAATTATTCAGAGAACAAAAACAGATATGATCTATCAAAACCCAGTTAGATTAACATTCATTGGATTTCACACTTTGTTTGTTTGTTTGTTTGTTTGGATATGTAGCACATTCACATTTGAATAGCACTTAATGACTGACTGAATGGAAATGACAATAAATGAAAATATAAAACGAAAAAAACGATCATGAAAATGTTTCCAAAAAATGAATAAAATGATTTTTGACCACTTTGTTGTTCAGATATATCACATATGTGTAACTAAATGATACATTAATTGAAACAAAACACGGTATAAACTGAGGAGTGAGTCCCGTGAGGTTCATGTATTTTATAGATGAGAGTAACAAATGCGTCACGTCTTCCGGGCAAAAATAACGTCTCCGCCCACTTTTTGGGGAAAACAACTCTGTCAGTTGAATGGCGGTCAATACAAATTCTGAAGTTTTCGCCAATCCGATCAGAAATTTAAGAAAACCGGAGATTTTTGGATCATCAAAGAGCCCGATTCCAATGACCAGACAGGCAAACAATTGCATTAAGCCATTATAAATCGACGATCGGGCTCGATATATGGTTAAATATAGCAGTAGGCTATCGATTGTCATAGATGAGAGTAACATCGACGTCACTTTACGGCCCCGCCCACTTTTGGGGGAAACAACGCTGTCATTTGAATGGCGATCGAGCCTGAAGCCACAGAGCTCTTCTTTTACTGTCCTTTCTTCTTAGAGGAAGTACGGAAACACTGAACTCTGGATTATTTGTAATGTTTGATGTGCAATAAACGACACGGCAGCTTGTTGGCATGATACAACTATTATGTTCCGCCTCGCTCATGAGAGTAACAGCTGGAGAAATTACAGCCTCGCCTACTGATTTTAATTTAACCATATATCAAGACCGATTGTCGTTTAACAATGATCAAATGTAATTGTTTGCCTGTCTGGCCATCGTAATCGGGCTCTTTGAAGATCCAAAAATCGACGGTTTTCCAAAAAATTTGATCGGATTGGCAAAAACTTCAGAATTTGTATTGACCGCCATTCAAATGACAGCGTTGGTTTCCCCCAAAAGTGGGCGCGGCCGTAATTTTTGCCCGGAAGTGACGTAGGTGTTACTCTCATCTCATGTCAAGAAGCATCAGATCAGTGCATGCACTGCCTCGTCCAATCAGTGAGCGATACACAGTAAGGGGGCGGGGCGAGTATCTGAGGATTTAATCGGAGGATGGTCTGGTGGTTCCTCGGTTATCGCTCCTCCATGATCGCTGCTCGCTCCTCGATCCTCGGTCCTCCGGCAGAAATAAGAGCCATGGGACGGTACTCAAGATGGCGCAGGCAAATCAACTTCCGGTGAGACCGAGGAGCGAGGTAATGAAAATAGTCGACCTGAGAAGCAGCCCGGGTCCATGTGGCTTTCCATGTGTCCATGTGGCCATCTTGGTTTTAGAGACATGTATCATGCACTTACACTGACTTGGCACTGAGTGGCAGTGTATGGGATGATGCAATAGGGTCCTATGTAGTGACTGATGGTGCAACTATGCAACAAAAAAAATACATATACAAGAAAACACCTTTTGAATAGCTGTCCACTGTAGTGACCTCTATGCATAGAGGTTAAAAGAGTAAACAATACTCTTAAACCACGTTTAATGCAGATTTAAACATTGGTAAATATTTTTGGGAATATTAACATGACAAGCGGAGTTTGCTGCAGCGCTTAGAAAGTGAAAATACTTTCAATCAAGGACTTAGCTGCATTATACAATACATCCATGGTAGGGACCTGACAAGTTAGAGCGCATGTGTGAGCTAGGGGCCCCATATATATTTTCTTCAGAATATCTTTGTTACTTTATTGAACTTTGAGCTCATGTGTTTTGGCCATAAGCATCAACTTGCTGAGACGTGAAACTTGCTTGATTTTATTGAACACAGATAGGCCACTTGTTTGAGGTAAGTCAACACAGGGTGATGCTGTCCATTTTTAACACTAGATTTGTTTAATGTATGTTTTTCGTTCACACTTCAGACTGTTATGGCGCTATCACAATTAAATCCAAATTAACGAGACGCGACCAATGAGCAAACTTGGGTAAGTATGTTTTAATCGGATAGGATAGCAGTTAAACTTTCAGAGGTCTTAATTGACATTTACTAGTAATTTAAATGTTCTGTCTAGTCATTTCACACTGATCAAATACATATTTCACTTTTATTTTCTATAACAAGTAAGGTGGTTAGAATTTACATACCCAAGTATTTTGGTGAACAATTGTGTCTAATCTTGAACAAACGATGTAGAAGAGATGAAATTTTGACTTTGTTCTAGATATTTTCTTCTCCATGAAACACGCCTTTCGCCTTAATTTTAGAGCCCAATTTTATGAGGCATTTTTACACGAATAGCCACAATTGTTGTATTTTATAGGCATTTAGTTTCTGGTTTGTTGTTCTCTTATAGAATATGTGTGTGTACGTTTTATAATAAGCAAGAATATGTTTTCCCTGAAAATGTTGACACAAAGTAATAATTGCACATAAATGCAGACTTTCTATTCTATAAATGTAATTTATTTGATTGATGAGGCTACATTAGACAACATTTCCAGATTAATTAATGCTAAAGCAGCTACAAAAAGGCTGCACTGTTTCCAGCAGCCACAATGGGGCGCCATAACACAGAGATATCGAAACATCCCTTCACATTTACTCTAACAATCAGCTAACTGAAATGTTGGTTTGCAGTATATCATCAACCCTGATCAGTATGTGATCAGCATTAATTCCCACATTAAAATGATTATTCAGCTACAACATTAATTCCCCTAAAAGCGGTCTAGCACAGGATTTGACTCAACCTATTCATTTATAGGGTGCATTTGTGTAAGCAAAAACGTTATAAAGAATAATATGTATTGAATTGTGTGTGATCAGGCTGATGTTGGAATATTTAATGTTTGTTTTTTTTTCTTTATGTTTGGGTCTGCGCTAACCCTTGCTCCAAGACTATGACCCTAAACCTCATGTTTTCATTAATTAATTCAATCCATGCATATACTGTATCACTCATGTACCAAATCCAGAAATATATCTATAAGAATAACAGGGGAACATCATTCACATGTGGGCTTTTTATTATTGAATAAGACAGTGAGAGACAAAGAAAGAAACAGTATACAAATACTGGTCATACTGTATGAGATGTATGTACATGTATGACACACTTTCTATTATCTTCCTGGCATTCAGTACACCCTCACACATGACTCATCCACAGTATTTCCATCAATTTATCGTGTGCCCTCTTGCAGGCAGTAAATAAATAGTAGTTATTTTCCAAGTATTCGAGTGGGATTAATGTAATGAGGATTTCTGCACTGGTGGTTCTCACATTAATTGACCTATAACGCTGCCTATGGTGGGAGTGAGATGAGAAGGGGTGTTTAATAGCTCCAAAAGAGATACTTGTGAACAATTAATGAATAATTACCCCACAAAATAACATAAAGGAAATTAAAAAAGTGTGCAAAACATCAAATAAAGTGGCAGTGTCTTAAAAAACATTTACACCAATACCTTAAACCATCTCCGAAAAACATTTTGTTGTGAAAGTTGAAGAAAGCTCATTTTTATTTTGGTCCCCAAATATTCTTTGTTGTATAATTCAGAAAGTGCTTATAATAGTATAATTTGGTCCAGGATCATATAACAGTTTATTTACATTAAGGGCATTCTTAGCTGTTCACCCTAAACCTTTAAAACATGGTCTGTTTAGTTCAGCATTCTGAAATCTATGAAAGACAGCTGATAACCCTTTGCTATCAGATGGCCTAGTGAATCAAGCTGGTATCATTTGCCAATAACAGACATACATTTAAAAAATCTACAAATGTATAACTTATATTTGTTGGGAGAGTTTTCTGAGTACATATCACAACAATGTTAATAATCATTGCGACAGTCAATCGGATAAAGGTCACCCTCTGAAACGCCATGGCCACATGAAATCACAAATTGGTATGCTGTGGTATTTTACACATGTTAGCCGGCAGCTTGGACGAGATAGAAGGGAGGTCATTAGATGAAAAAGCAGTAATGGCCAGCTATCTCAAGGCCTGTTAATGGGGCTGATCACTAATGATCAGAACCCAGCCCTCAAAAAGGTCAGCAATGGCCCATTTCCAAAAAACCAACATGTCACTGTCCTTTCCATCACAACAATTAAGATCAATGAAAGCATTTCCATTAATAGCAGGACTTGGACTTCAATATGGAACTTTGCTGCAAGCTCATGGCTGAGCTGGTGCCATTCTGGCTGTTGGAGCGCATGGCAGATGTTCTGGAAATGGAGGTCATTCTTAGTGTCTCTCAGGTAGATTCAGTCAGTATTTGGTCAGTTCTTTCCGATCTCCATAGTTTGTTTCATGGGCATGTGTTGGGGTGTATGGGTGTGATCATGTGCAATTGTTACCATCAGAGGTAATGACTGCACCTAACAAGTCTTTGGAAAGCTTTTTTGAAGTCTTCATTAAAGATAGTGTAGATGAGGGGATTGATTAGCGAGTTGACGTAGCCCAACCACGTCAGGAAGTCAGCCATCTCCATCGAAGTACTGCACTCACTGCAGGTGTTGACAATCACCTCCTTGACAAAAAATGGCAGCCAACAGATGACGAATGCCCCTATTATCAACCCCAACGTTGATGCTGCTTTGCGCTCCCGTGAGCCTGAGATCCGTGGACCTTGGTAAAACTGGCTCCGACGTGACTCACTGCGTGACTCACTACGTGACTCATGCCGGCGCGACTTGCCCTGGAAAGCCTTAGATTTACGCACCCGTTCACGTGGAGGCTCCTCAGTTGAGGGTTCAGAGAAAGACTTTTCTGGAGGGCTTATAGGCTCTGGACTTTGGGCTCCCCTATCCTCGTTGCCATCTCCAGCAGGGTAGGATGAGGGGATCATGCTCCCATTGGTCACACTTGAATAGCGGCTGGCCCGGCTGGCCTCCCTGCGCATATACAGGGTCTGAGCGGCACGGTATATCTTGTAGTAGAGGATGAGTATGAGCATCAGAGGGATGTAGAACGCTCCAAGGGTAGAGTATAAGGTGAAGGCCATGTGATGGTGCATCATGATGCACTGGTCTACCTGCTCGGCATCCCCGCTGTAGTGCCGCCAGATTAGAGGAGGAACTGAGATGAGGATGGACAGGAACCACACCAATGCCACCATCGCCCCAGCCCTGGCCCCTGTGCGTTTGTGTGAATACTCCACTGCATCTGTAATGGCCCTGTATCGGTCAATGGCGATGGCAGCAAGGTGCAGGATGGAGCATGTGCAACAAGTGATATCCACACTTAACCAGATGGTACACACCACCTGGCCCATGCCCCAGGTCTCTTTCTGGATATACATAATACCAAAGGGCATGACCAGCACAGCCACCAGCAGGTCGGTCGCTGCTAATGAGCAGATGAGGTAGTTGGCCGGGTGGTGCAACTTGCGTGTGACTGCGATAGCTGTGATCACCAGGCAGTTGAAGAATGTAGTCAGGATGGCCACTACAGACAGGGTAAGCGTTAGCAGGATCTTACTAGAAGGGGGTTTAGTGGCCTCCAGGGAGTCATTACCACTGCTGCTTGTGGCAAACACCCCTTCAGTGTAATTGGGAAAATCCATTCTGCAAGCAGAAGAGAAAAAGTGCATTAGATATAAAGGGAGCTTAAGGAGAATGTCAAACATCATTTACAGATGACGAGAAAAATCATTTGAAGTGTAAAAGAAGTTTCACTGCCGTGTATATTTTTGTTTGAATCTGGCATCGAATTTTCATCACTTGATTGCTATAAAATGACTGCAAGAATTGTACTGTTATTGCTTCTTTAAATCCGAGTCAAGGATTTTGCTTTCTGCACTTCATACAGAAGACATGCCAACGTGGAGGGAAAAATATTCAAAATGTGCTTGTAAAGCCAACGGACTTCCAAAGGTATGCCTACCTTTCGGACTCTAACGTGTTGCATCCAGTTGGTTTAGTGTGCAGCAGACAGTCTTCTCAGATCTGTCCTGCTTGCAAGCGCTGCCATCACATCACCCCTGTCTCTTATTAAAACCTGGAAGAGATAGAGAACAAAACAGAAACATTTTCAGAAAGGAGAAAGAGAGAGAAAAAGGTATAGGGAGGAAAAAAGACTTAGAATGAACTTCAACAAAGTAAGGATACAGTCAAGGACAAGAACACCTACACAGCAGATGCACTGAATAGTTTATATGAAGCTAATGTTTGCATGACTGTGTTAATTAAATTCAATCTTCATTCATGTGAACCACTTTGTGGGTATGTGGCTCTTTTATTAAGTTGATCTATTGAGTGTTCAACAATGTTGCTACCGCTCTTCCAATTAGGGTCAGCCTAACATATCCTATTGTGTTGCTAGTATGATTATCTTTTGTTCTTTTTATTTTAACCTCATGGTCTAAACTTTGTTTCACAGGCTTCTCAAAGACAATAAGATTCAAACTTTGTAATTCTGTCATGGACATGCTTAAATGTATGATTAAATCAAAATGCTCAGGTATGATTGTCATTGCAGCTCTTCTTCACTTCCCGCATTGCACAGTATCCTGAAGACATGAGTGGGAACTGTTGCTATAGAAACAACAAGAAGTAAAGTACTTTTATTTAATATGGCGTTGAAGCAGAGGCAGCTAAACTCTGACTGCAGATCTCTGGTGAAACTGTTCGATTCCCAGAGTAGGTCCAGGGGGTAGTTGGGTGGGCGAGCAGGGTGGCAGAGCTACATGACAACAGAATGAGATAAGAGATTTCAGTTCACTGAAACCTAACAGATGGCAAAGTGCCAGCTAATATCATTTCCCATGATACCTTCCAAAGCTGCTTTCAAGACAAAATACGTTTATATATGACCAAAACTGTTTTTAATGTTGGAGCAAAGCTGACCTTCCTACATGTTTTTTACTTTTATAAGTGTTGAAGCATTAATGTAAAATCCTGCTCAAACAGTGGCATATCATTCTCATTCTTACAATATTGAGCAACTTATGCAGAAATGTGTAGTAGCACATAAGTATTGTTTCACCACTTCATTCAAGGTGTGGGCACTGGCCATCCCTGAGTCACCTAGGTGCTCTTTGATAGTTTGATGGTTATTGTATAAGGAACACTGTTTATACTGAGACAAAGAGCCCTTTACATAATGAAATAACCACTGCACTGTGTTTATTAGTCATATCCATTCAACTACCCATTTTGTTTCTTTTCAATGTGCATGCAGCACTATTTCTAGGAGATAAACATGATTGCTTCCTTCTCTCTGTTAACAGTGCCAACGCTAGTGTTGAAAACAACAGCTTTGGCTTCTTAGCGAAGGTTTTTAAATTGATCTTCAGTGGAAGAAAATAACTTACTAAAGTGAAGGTTCAACAAATACTTTATTAAAGTGTTTATTAAAAAACCTTGATGCTATTGGCTGCAAATACAAATGGTCTCAAGCTATTCCAGAACAAATTGCTTTCCAGTGGACCAGTGAAGAGTATTAGCTTCTCTACACCTTTGATTTCAGTCTTTAAGGAAAATGCAATTGTCTCCTCTGTGTTGTGATGCAATTATACACTCCTTTCCATTTACCCTTGAATGGATCTGGAAGAACAGTACGATATGCAGATTGCTTTGCTCAGATAGATGGATGATAATTACTGCTGCACTTCTGTTGTGCACTGTCATTGCATTGTTACCTCACCTGTGTATCTGAGAATCTTGTTTTTTTTTCAGTGTTTGTGCCCAGAGGTATATTTATATGGTGTGGGCATAGTGTTTTTTTTTTTAAGGTGTGCATGCATGTTTTTTCAGTGATTGACAGTAGGCGTACACTTTGTCAGCCTGTCATTATGTGAAACAAAGAAAATCATTTGCCTTTGTCTCAAAATGTTCTAAAACACGGGCTTTCTTTTCCAAGACCATCTGAAGATAAGCTCCACTGAGCCAGAGTGAGTATACTCCCTGCTTTAATCAGAAAAAAACACACTGCCCTTGCTGGAGAATTCAGCAAACACAGAAAACACAGAATGATGGCAACATTGTTATTACATTATGGAGTATATTTCAAGTTTGCTTTTTAATACTGTTTAAGTACAACATGTCCTTTTTAACTATCTACTCCTATTGGATGAAGTGATAAGAGATAAGAACCAGCACACCCCAATACGCTCAGTCACAGGTTTGGCGAACTGCACAATTATTAAGCACTCAAAATCCATCAAATTTGGCTGTTATGTGGCTGTAATATAAAGCTACAGAAATATTGTGTGATGATGCCCGTGTAGTCAGTCAACAAACAACAGATTCAGGTTGGCAGATAACGAGGAGGCTGACAAAGCAGACACATGTTCAAAATATCCCTCCACATTCAGAGATGACGAGAAAGAGGTGAGTTTAATTCATCCTCATCCAGTGTCTCTCACACTCTCACAGCTCAAACACACAAAGCACCCTAAGACATAAGGTAAACACACACACACACACACACACACACACACACACACACACACACACACATGTACAGTATGCCCAACACCAACTTCCCTCTAATTTCAAAAGGTTTGCCGTTACCAAAATAATGTCAATCGTCTGACATTCAATCGCTCCCTCCTTCGCTCTATCCTCTTACAAGAACAGGAAAGCTGCATTTGTCCCACGGAGTACAATCTCTGAAAAACAAACAGTTTGGCTCAGGCAGGACATCAAGCTGCCAAGTGTTGTTTGGTGAAGGAGGAGAGTTGTGAACAAAATGACTGACAGCTCAGGAAAGACGCTAAATAGATGAATAACGGCAGCACCATAAAGCAGCACAGCAACCCTCATTCATTTGCCGGTTTATCTGTCTCCTCATCTCTTTCCATCCATCTTTTTAATTTGGTGGTGGAGGTAAATGACTTAGTTGGCAGGAAGTAATAAGTCTCCATCTTAGGATATATTGTTTTTGTTTTCTCTTGAATTTGAAGTGTGTAATCTCATATAAACATGAATATACCATTCTGGTGCAGAAAACCACCCTACATTCAAATACGATCATGATAGATGAACACAATACACTTTATTTTTATGGAATAGTAAATGCATTGATGAAATGCAAATGAGGTGTGACTTTTTATAAATATTACATTTTAATCAGAACATGCCATGAGATGAGACCACTCGCAAGAAAATGCAACTGCACAACAAGGATTCATTACATCAAAAAGTTTTTTTTTAAATAAATGAATAATATTTTGGATGATGAAGACAATTTATTGTGCTAATTGCTCATTTCAAATTAGTTTGACCCATACTGAATGCCCTGTAATTCACAATATGACCATGCTATGTCCAGCAAGTCACTAGTCACATTCATAGACCTGTGTCCTTGTTCCAGGCTTGACTGAATCACTTAATGAGTGTCACAGCTGGGGTTTCACTGCACAAGCAAATGCACAGCATGTCAGCGTCAGCCCTGCCTCATGCAGATAGAGGTATTAACAGGTAAGGATCCATCACCCAGAGGGAACTGGTTCAAGTGTTCTTGTGGCATCCTAGAATGTAGGATGCCAGGCGCGGTACCTAAGTGAGTGAGTGAGTGAGTGAGTGAGTGAGTGAGTGAGTGAGTGAGTGAGTGAGTGAGTGAGTGAGTGAGTGAGTGAGTGAGTGAGTGAGTGAGTGAGTGAGTGAGTGAGTGAGTGAGTGAGTGAGTGAGTGAGTGAGTGAGTGAGTGAGTGAGAGAGAGAGAGAGTGAGTGATTGAGAAAGGAAGGATAGAAGGATAGAAGGAAGAAAGGAAGGAAGGAAGTGAGTAAGTAATTTAGGTTTAAGCACTGGCCAGATGCTGTCAGTGTTGTTTGAATTGTGTTAGCTTTAATTGCTCATATAAGTACATGGTACACCTTTGTTACTAATGCTCAAGCCAACAGTTTTAATGTTTTTCAATTAAGCCCTTTTGTATGCAAAAGTGGCAGAAAATGCTGCTTTTAGCTTCTGAAATATGGAGATATCCGCATTTTCTGTATTACATCAATTTAAACAGAATATATTTGGGTTTGGACTGACTAAAGGGACATTTAAAGACATCCAATGATAATTGAATAAACTAGGATAAACATTTGTACACCTTTTAATATTGTTCCTATATTTTATAGAACAAACAAATCAAGTGAAATAAGCTGCAATTACAGTAACTAATAAAGAAAATAATCTTTAGGTACAGCCCTACTGTTGAATGGTATGGTTTTAAGACAGATCAGTACCTGGAATGGATTGGTCGTTTGTACCTGGTGCGCTGTGTGCAAATATTCTATATTGAACTATATTTTAAAAATCAGCTCCATCATCAGTGTATGTGCACCGGAGGCTTCTAGCTACATATTGGACTTTGCTTGCCCAAACTAGTTGTGTTACCACAAACTCATGTTGTGACACTCATTTTAAGGTGAGAAACTTTCCCCCTCCAGCAGATGAATGTGAAAACTGCTTTCTGGTGTCAAAGTCTGCACAAAAATGATTCTGCTAAGTGAAACAACAAATGAAGGATAATAAGCAAATGATATTCTCAGTGCAGGGCCTTTCAGAGAGGGCTGTGATGGCTGAAACTCTGGATTGCCTATCAGCATCCATCAGTGCTTAAAAGGATCTATTATTTCTTCTTGTTAGCATCTGTGGTTCTGCAAGTCTATCCCTGCGAAGTCGGTTTATCGAGCTTGAATGTTAATGCAGTGTAGTAGACAAAGACGTCCTTATTTTATACTCCTAGACAAAGTTCGATATACTATATATTTGTTATTATATATCTTACTGGCTCGCACTTAACTAAAGCAAAATACAGGACAGCCAAATATGTACACCATGACTGATACATAATACTTCTGGGAAGAAGTTGGTAACGTATTACAATAAAGTTATGTACCTCAATCATAAACCTTGTCTCATTGCTCTGCTGCTGTTAGACTGTGTGCGGGTATGAAAGACATGAATTGCACCAATAAATGTAAGCTAAGTCTGGGTCAGAATCACCTGTTCAGGGGCAAATCAACTTGACAAAACACTCACATTATGGCAAATTAATCCTTGTCTTGTAACAGATGATGAGAATGTCTGGATCACAGGCTGAGATTAGTTTTGCCAAATCATGCACCAGTCACACAGGGAGCTCTGGAAAAGGCTTTCGTCAAGCAACCATGCTAACCAATGGGATACATTTCCTCATGAGTAATGAGTACTGTATTCTTAATACAACTTTATAGTAATACCTTTACAATGCAACAAAACAGCTCTTACTTTTGATTTCACCGGCAAGCACACAAACTGTAGAATGTCTCTCTGATTAGACATTCTCCAAGATTATAGAGAAAATCATCGAGCTTTTTATCTAGTGAATTAGAGAGATTAAAAAAGCAGGAGACATGTTTTTGAATCCGCATTAAGAAGACAGTTCTGAAATGACTATAGGGAAACAGGCCAAAAGCAATTGGTACCGAGTTTTAAATGAATGGGAATTGTTACTATATTAAAATGTAAAAAAAAAGGTATAAATGTGGTGGACATGAATTAATAAATATCTGTATAGCTTAATGGAATTCAAATAATGTATACAATTATTTTTTAATATATAGGAACATTTATAAAATCATTACCTCTGTTATTCATACTCAGTGTTGTGCTAGTTACTGAAAATAAGTAACTAGTTACCATTACTAGTTACTTCATTTCAAAAGTAACGCAGTTACTTTACTAGTTATTTACACAAAAAAGTAATGCGTTACTGTAAAAAGTAACTTTTTTTTTACTTAAAAAAAGGGCTCCCATTAATACCCTTATAGCCTTCATTTCAGTACTGTTATTGCATTGGAGAATAATACAATCTGTTGATCAACTTGACATGCATTATATGCAATCTGGATTGCATCGATATTAGCTGGCTTTCCATTTTTGTATATTCTTTCTCCAGGTAGTTGGAAAAAGTTTTCCGTCCCATATGCCGTGTGTCGCCCGGACATGCTATCATGCTAACTAGCTCCCTGAAAGCGGGTGACTCCACTGTAGCAATAGCCTGCATGTGTTCTACAACATACCGTGCAATGGCTTTATCGACTTTTCCCTGGCTAGCAGTCCCTTGGTTAAAATCCAGCCGCTGTTGCTTAGGTGGAGGTGGAGTGGCGTTGGATGAGTCTGGGTCTGTGCCGGTCTTAGTTACTAGCTTCTTCCCAGCATGTTGTTTTTGCAGATGTTTTAAGAGATTTGAATTACTGGTTTGTGCAGTAGATAGGCTCTTTGACCCGCCAGGACACAACTTACATTTAACAGAAACTTTCTTTTATTTGTGCTCGACAAAAGTGAAATAGTGAGAATATCTCCAGGTGGAGAAACTAGACTTGAGCTCCGCCGCCGCCATGATAGTCTTGTTAGTAAACAACACAAACACGCCCACAGCCCGTCTCCGCATGTGACACAGGAAGTATCTAAGTACATTTACTCAAGTACTGTACTTAAGTACAGTTCTCATCTATGTTCGCCTGGCTGTTGACTATATAAAAAAACGCGGTAACTGAGTAACGCACCATGTAGTAACGGTAACTGGGTTACTGAATCTAGAAAGTAATGCGTTAGAGTACTAGTTACTGCCCAAAATAACGGCGTTACAGTAACGTTAGTCCCAACACTGTTCATACTGCATGAAACAGTATTATGTGTTATTTATTTAATTGTAGCCCACGTACATTTTCATAATTTGTGTTTTAACAACAGCCAGTTCTCCCGTTAATGAAGGTATGAACACATTTATAATCCATTGCTGTCAGAAAATGTTTGCAAAACAATACATGATTAGAAAGTGTGAAGCTTGGGACAAACTCAGAGGCGGATTGTGTCCATCACGTAATGCAGATACAATTATTTATTTTAAGACTTATGCGTCACCAATATGGGATAAGAGTCTTAACTAATAAAGTGTGTTTTACTGTTCATTGTTTTCAGCAAAGGAAGGAAATAAGTCAGATATGTAATACTGTATTTATGTGGGCAAAAATGCACTAGGAGGAGAGCTAACATGTGTCCTAAGAGCTTGTACATTTGATATAATTTGGAGATAAAAATGTGGTTTCTCAAAAGACAAAAATTATCAGAGGGCAATTCAGACTCCAAAACTGAAGTGAAACATCTGTGCTATTTACTTCAATTTCACTTCAAAGAAACCTGAAACCCCACAGTAGCTGCCAGGAAAGAGCAGAGGTTATTATCTTTCACCAAATTACGGTTAAAGAGACACACACTTTTTGTAATATTTAAAAAGATATTTAACAAAATGAGTGTCTAATTTAATATAACTAATTACCCAAATGTTACAGCTCTGAGGGTCTCACATATTGTCCAAAGTGGTTCTAATGAATTGGAACCTTCCCAGGAGGAGAGGCATGATTACAACTCCAGAAGGATATATCCCAACATATGAAATAAATGAATTGTTTGCCTCTCTAAATTGCATTGCCCCTTAACATTGAGGAACATCAACACAAGCTGCCAGATACTCAGCAGCCACCAGATAATGAAGTTGTTTCTGTGAATGTGTTGGCAAAATATGCCTCCAGACATCATCACTTTATCATTCTTCTAGTCACATGAATACTTAATAGCTATATCTTTCCTTTTCTTTTGGCTGGATCCACCATTGCTAAAGTAAAACATTCTGCTTGAACTGGGCTGGCAGTGTACAGTTAAAGTCTGTATATTTCAGATTTTGCTGCCTTTGTGTGATCATTCTTTGTATTTTCGCACAAAGGGAAAACGCTTGATATTCAGTCGATATCACAAATACTGATTCATGCTAAGTTAGTGCATAAATAAACCTGTTAGTATCAACCTCATAATGCCTCTCAAACATAGGCAATGACTTTTGCACGAATGTTCTCCGAAAACCTCAGCCAGTGAGCAACCGTTCCCTTAGTATGATAAACACACTGCGGCAGTATCTTAACTCAATCATGTGTGAGAGGATTATAAATAATTGTCACATTATGCACATACTTATCATTTTTGCTTCATTAAAAATGCGTTATGCATTATGTGTAAATAACATGAACAGACCCGAGGGGGCTCACACTCTCACACACACACACACACACACACACACACACACACACCCACACACACACACACACACACACACACACACACACACACACACACACACACAGATAATGAGCCGTAATACTGACGCGGTCATCATCTCATGCATAGGTCCCTAAACCAGCAGGAGCTAATATCCCCTTCCGATGGTCACTTATTTCTACACGAGTTACCTTCTAACGGGGAACCTAAGTGTCAATGGCCTGGGTGGAGGCAATAAAGCAAATGGATTTAAACTGATAGGATGTCCATACGAACATTTTAAATGTAATTAATGCAGAAAATAAATAATGTAATGTCCTTTAATTGCATGTCCTCTTTTATCCTACTAATGCAATCATGTTCTGTTTTATAGCTTAATCAAAATACATCAACAATTTGAATTAAGATGTTTCTTGGAAATTCAACAGTGAGATCTAAAGACTCAAAAGTCATTTGAATTCATCAACGACATTTTTGAAGTCATAATGCCAATTTGTCCAATACATATGTCCTGTGAACTGTTC